AGAATAATATACAGAAATTCAACAGTAAACTAGAGGATCCCAAAAATCAAACAAAATATTTGAAATATGAGGAAGCAAAAAACACCCAACCAGAAAAACAAAAAGAAAAAAGAATAAAAAAATGTGAACATAGTATGAGGAGCCTCTGGGACAACTTCAAGCATACCAATATCTGAATTATCAGGGTGCCAGAAGAAGAGAGAGAACAAGACACTGAAAACCTATTTGAAGAAATAATGACAGAAAACTTTCCCTACCTGATGAAAGAAATAGACTTACAAGTCCAGGAAGCACACAGAACCCCAAACAAGAGAAATTCAAAGAGGACCACATCAAAACACATGAAAATTAAAATGCCAAGGGCAAAAGACAAAGACAAAATCTTGAAAGCAGAAAGATAAAAACAGTTACCTATAAGGGAGTACTCACATGACTGTCAGCTGATTTCTCAACAGAAACTATGTAGGTCAGGAAGGAGTGGCAAGAAATATTCAAAGTGATGAACAGCAAGAACCTACAACTAAGATTACTCTACCCAGCAAAGCAATCATTCCGAATGGAAGGTCAGATAAAGAGCTTCACAGATCAGAAAAAGCTAAAGGAGTACATCACCACCAAACCAGTATTATATTAAATGCTGAAAGGTATTCTTTAAGAAGAGGAAGAAGAAAGAAAGTAAAGATAAAAATTATGAACAACAAATACATATCTATCAACAAGTGAATCTAAAGGAGGTGGAGACAAATGGTGGGAGAATAGATAGGCGGGTTCTGAGCCTTGTCTCAAAGCAGAAAGAGAGCAGCTGAGGGTCACGCTGGGAGTGTTTATTAGCAAGCCAAGAGACAGGTGAACTCCAGGAGAAACTGGGCGTCTGCTGAACAGGGTGCCCCTAACAGGGAAGCACCCACGGCGGGGCTGGGTCCCTTTCCGGAGCTACCTACGGGCTTGGACAGGGAAATCTTACCATCTTTAAAGGAAAAGTGGATCTTGTCAGAGGCCTGAATATCCACAGCCGCAGTGACCACCAAGCAGCTGTGAACCCCAGAACGCTGATCCCAGGCGGCATGAACACTTGGACTCAAAGGAGCGCACCACCGCACAGCGAAAAGGTCAGATTTCGTGAAGATAGGATGAGTCCCCGCGGTGGAAGACAGAAGTCCGCTTGCATGCTCTGGGCACACAGAAGCTGGAGGACTGGGGTGGTATTTACAAGTAGAAGGCCCTGGCTGTTGGGCTAGTGTCATTGTGAATGTGGATGGGGCTCCTAATAGGGGAGATATCTAAAGAGCAACAAGTTTGAATCTGATTCAGAGGGATATCAGAGAATTACAGGGGAGTGCAGTAGGCTAGAACTCTAGCCCTCCCTCCCCCCCACCCCCCTCCATATCAGTGTTACAGAGAGGAAAAAAAGAAAAAAAAAAAGCTAGAGAGGCTTTAGAGCCCTGGAAGTCAACCCAGAAACACTGCCACCCAGAGGCTAAATCACAAATTGACCCTAGTGTAATAAAAAAAAATCAAAGCATGGCCTGCTTAAAAAACAGGACTGGATTACAATACTGAGGAGCAGTGAAATGCAGAAAACTGCAATACTGTTCAGACTGGGAAACAGGTGTGCCAAACAGAAGAATAGAGGAAGTGAATGACCTGCAAATTTTATTTAATTTTTAAAATTTTTTTAATTTTTGTTTTTTATTTTCATTATTTGCAACGTTTACTCAAGAAACTATTTTTTCTTTTTTCCTCACTTGATTTTACCTTTTTAATTATCACATTTTTATATGTAATCAACATTATTACTACTACTATTTTACCTTTTTTTATATTATTTTCTTTTGATTATTTTTATTATTTTTTTAAGTCATATTATTTGCTTTTTTATTTTACTTTGGGATTAGTGTTATACAGTCTATTTTTATCTTTCCTTCTCCAATGCTTTATTCTATCTCAACCCTACCTTTATGCCATTACTCTCTTTTTAACCATTTCCCTTTGGTGTCCTGTTTATCTTAACCCTTTCGTGCTCTACAATAGATTTTCCCTATTCTTTCTGTTTACCCCATCCTAAAATTTCACCCTACGTGTGTATATCTAATTTCCAACCCCCTGCTCCAAGCCCATTCACACCTCCCTTGTCGCTGACCTAAAAAAACAAAACAAAACAAAACAAAACCACACACACACAAAACAAACAAACAAACAAACAAACAAACAAAAACAGTCTTTCTCTCTATCCCTTTGTAGTTGTATGTTGAATGTTAACTATATCGAAGTTTTTTTGCTTTTTTGTAAGATTGGTTTGCTTATTCTTTTTGTTTGATTGTATGTTTTTGTTAGCTGGGTTCTAACAACCTTTATTGGCGGTTATTAATATTGCAAACACATTTCTGTTCAATGCCTTGTGTGTTGTACCTGGTTGTGTTGTATTTTGTGCCTTTAAATCAAAGCAGGAGAGAGAGAACTACATAACCAGACATCCTGAAAAGAGAGATCATGGGGAGACAAAGAAACAGCCCACATATGAAAGAAAAGCAGGCATCACCAGAAAAGGAAGTAAAGGAGTTAGAGGCAAGCAACCTACCAGACCAAGAATTCAGAGTAATGATCATAAGATGGCTAAAAAGAATGGAAGACAAATTTGACAATATGAGTAAGAACCAAGAGGAAATGAAGAACCAAGAAGAAATGAAAAATGACATCACTACTGTAAAGAACTCAATAGAAAGCATCAAGAGTAGACTAGAAGAAGCAGAGGACCGTATCAGTGAGCTAGAAGACAAGATGGAAAAAAAAATACCCAATTAGAGCAGCTTCTGGGGGAAAAAATTAAAAAGCAGGAGGAGAGCCTAAGGGAACTTTGGAACAATGCAAAACAAAACAATATTAGAATAATAGGGGTTCTAGAAGGAAAGGAAACTGAGGAACACATGGAAAATGTATTTCAAGAAATAATGACAGAAAACTTTCCAAAGATTGAGAAGAAAAAAACCACACAAATCCAAGTTGCTCTCAGAGTCCCAAGCAAAATGAATCCCAAAAGACCGAAGCCAAGGCACATTATAGTTAATCTGGCAAACACCAAAGACAAAGTAAGAATCTTAAAAGCAGCCAGAGAGAGACTGAAAGTTACATATAAAGGAACCCCCATCAGACGAGCAAATGATTTCTCCACAGAAACTCATAAGGCCAGAAGGGAATGGAATAAAATATACAAAGCCATACAAAGAATCCAAGAATACTGTACCCAGCAAGGCTATCAATCAAAATTGAAGGTGAAATCAGGAGCTTTACAGACAAAAACAGACTAAAGGAATTTATCACCACCAAACCAGCAATGCAAGAAATGCTAAAGGGTCTACTGTAAAAATAAAGAAATAGGAAGTGAAGAAGAAACACAGGGGTACAGAATAAAAATGGTGACAAGTAAGTACCTATCAATAATAACTTTAAATGTAAATGGATTAAATGCTCCAATAAAAAGGCATAGAGTAATGGATTGGATAAGAAAATAAGACCCATATATCTGCTGTCTACAAGAAACCCATTAAAAAAAAAAAAAAAAGATGCACACAGATGAGGGTGAAGGGATGGAAAAAGGTTTTCCAGGCAAATGGAAATGGAAAAAAAAAAAAAAAGTTGCTTGTGGGGAACATTTAGGCAATTCCTCAAAAAGTGAAATAGAGTTACTGTATAAACCAGCAAATCAATTCATGATAATTGAAAACATATGTCCTACCCAAAAAAAACTTGTACCTGAATGTTCATAGCAGCATTATCCTATATAATAAACAGGTAATATGCAAATTAACCCTCACGCCCTCATAAGATGGCTGCCTACAACCAGGATAGCAGGGGGGTTAGTGAGGAATGACCAAATGACTGAACAAGCAGGCTGTGTGGGGCAATCAGGCTGGTAAGTAAGTTAGTGAGGGATGACCAAATGAATGAACAGCAGGCTGTGTGGAGTGACCAGGCCAGCAGGGGGGAGTTGGGATGACCAGGCCAGCAGGGGGTTTAGTAAGAGGCAACCAGGTGGTGGGAACAGGGAAATCCTATCTAATAAAGACAGAATATGCAAATTGACCACTACTTGGTGACAAAAGATGGCAGCACCCACAGCCAATAAGGAGGTAATATACAAATTGATCCGACAAAGATGGCGGCAGCTGAGCTCACAGGCGTTCTGCCCCATCCTGGCTGCTCCAGGCCTCTGGGCAGCTTGCACGTGTGCAGGCATGGAGCGGCCAGGGTGGAGCTGGACACCTGCTATGAGGGGAGGCAGTGGGGGGGGGGGGCGGGTTTGGAGGAAGCTACAGGAAGGTGGCAGGGCCAGAGTAAAGGCAGAAGTTAACTGGCTGGAGTGAAGGACCAGGTCCCAGGTACCAGAGGGAAGCCAGTGGGAAGGAAGGACTATTCTTACACGAATCTTCATGCATCAGGCCTCTAGTAGAGAATGATTGCTAAAAGATACAGGGTTTTGTTTTAATGTTCTGGAATAAGATAGGGGTGATGGTTGCACAATCATGTGAATATACTAAAAACTACTAAAAATTATAATTTTAAAAGGCTGAATTTTATGGAATGTGAATTATATCTCAAAAATAGAGTAATTTTTTTTTTTTAAAGTACATTGTGAATTCTTATTTTGAACACTGGTGTCCTTGGTGCCAGGCTTCCTTGACCTTGGCCTTGTCACTGAGATCCCACATGTAAAAGCAGGAGCTCTGTTGGGGGTGAACTAAGTAGACATTCCTTGGCACTTATAACTTATTGACACATCATTTAATAGGGAGATGGTACCTCTCTACTAAGTATTAATGCTAAATAAGTTAAGTGAAGGGGCCTATCTAGATTTGCCCAAGAAAATATAACTTTCATTCAGTATTCAGAATTGGGGACCAAAGGAAGTTTTTCATTTTTTTAGTATAGTAGAGTTTCAGAGTCTCTACTCTGAAATTCCCAATTTTATGTAAAGTTTATGATTTTTTATCTTAGAGACTTACCAGAGTTTATTATTCTTATCCACTCCAAGAAAGGTTGTCGAAGATAAATGGGAGCCTGTCTGCTCTTCTCAATGTCTCCATTGTTCTGTATCAAATCTACAATTTCCTGTGTCCAAGTAGTTCCTAAAAGTAGAATAAAGAACCAAGTAACTGATTATTAATTTTCTACAATTTACAATTTAGAAACATCTTGTCTACATCAAGAATTAATTTGTCTTATGTTACTTTACTATATTGAATTGAAACCAATTATTAAGATTATCTTCTCACAAAAAAAAGGGAAGAAATGTGACATTCATTTTTACTTTCCAGTGATGTGTTTTTAAAAATCTAAATATGCATTGGTATTTTTAGAAAACAATCATATAAATAATTATTATATGTAATAATAGGGGGTTATTTTTAAAATATTTCATTTGAGAAAAATCACAGAAATTCACAACCACTCACTTTTACAATTAAACCTTTGCTGCTAATAAATAATTTTGTTTCCCCTTCTGGTTATTTTTTCTTTTTAGATACATGAAATTGACCCAATGTGAAAGAAATTTTAAAAGGGAAAATAAGAATTACAAATAATCCACAAACTGGAGGAATATAGATTGAATTAATTTCTCTTTAAAAGGAAAAGAAAGACTCAATGTAATATTAAACAACTACCAAGAAAGTTGAATTGGTTTTAAATGAAAAATAACCTTTGTTACATTTGGGGTTAATATTTATTTCTCTCTGCAGACTCATCTACTAGCTCCTTAATGATTTGGAGTAGAGAGGGTGGTTCCTCTCACACTCCAGCCTCCTTGGCCTCTACAGTGCTCAGCCTCCCAGGATGTTTCCCTTTGATTGGCTTCTGGGACGTGTGGGTGGCCTGGTCTTATTTCTCTGGGAGAAAGCATGATGGCTTGGATGTGTATGAGGCTGTGGAATCTGATTACTCCAATCCTATCTCTGGTATGCATGATTTAGGTGGTTTTGATAAATTATATAAATTTTATTGAGCACCAATTATTCTCATGTGTTTTGAAAATTAGAAAATAGGCAGAGCCCCCCTTACAGTCAGCACTAAATAAATATTAAATGTCTTAATTTTTTTTTTTTTTTTTACTGTGTTAGTATAACTGGAGGACCAGAGCCAATACATGTGAGAGCATCTTGCTCAGCTAACGTAAGGGGAAGAAAGGTGCTATTCTTGTCATGGTACCCTCATGTGGGTTTCCTGAGATCCTGGTTCCCCTTTCCCTAGTACCTTGATGACAGTCCCTGGGTGCTGTCCCATGGTTCCCATCTAGACCCTACTCTGGTGCCATATCTGCTCAGCTCCTAGTTGGTTTCTATTATACTCTGCACTAAAACCAATTTCTCCTTCCCTCCTGGAATCAGAATTTGCTTCATTTTTGACAATTTTGTTGCCTCCTTGTCAATTTATTATCCTAACTCCATGTTTGATTCTGCCACAGACAGGCTATTGGATCTGCTGCCTTTCCTGGATTCTGAGGGTGACTGAGCCCCTCAAAGGAAGTGCCCTCCTCCTTTGCAGACTCTGTTTCTAGACTTGGCTTTGCTGTTGTAAACATTGTGAGACTCTCAGAAAACTCAGACTCCCTTAGTGGTTGGTCCAGACCAGTGGTCGGCAAACTGTGGCTCGTGAGTCACATGCAGCTCTTTGGCCCCTTGAGTGTGGTGGCTCTTCCACAAAATTAGGAGTACCCTAATTAAGTTAATAACAATGTACCTAGCTATATAGTTTAAGTTTTAAAAAATTGGCTCTCAAAAGAAATTTCAATCATTGTACTGTTGATATTTGGTTCTGTTGACTAATGAGTTTGCCGTCCACTGGTCCAGACCATCCAAGGGCTTCTGACAGACTTCCTTGCCTCATACTGAAGACTTGCCTTGCAATTAATCCTGTTTATAAGGGGTACACATCATGATTCACACTCACCACTAACTATTTAGCTCTCCAGGAGAGCTAAATCCCACTACTCCATGCTCCTGCCTAACTTCCATGGCAATCTGATCTTTGCCCTTTCATGGACTCTACCTGCTAGCTGGCAAATTCCCAGATATGGATGTTTACCAGAATGGAATCTCAATAAGTTATGACCTAGTCCAAGCAAGCTATGCCTCAAGTTATGCCCTACAGAAATATATGGAAGATTATAAAATGTGCAGGATTTGCTGCCCAGATTTTCCTTCTGAATGGAAGGGTTCATTATCCCAGCTGCTGGCAGATAGCCCCTAGCTTTTCATCTCTCTTCAGGACCAAGGTCTTGCCCCTTTCCTGAGGCAGCTTACATTCAGTGATGGGCTGACACCTGGTCCTCTCACCTCAACTATTATACTATGGCCCTAGCTCTGAAGAGCGACCCATGGGGATGGAAAGGCTTTGCTGAGACTGAGTTAAAGCTCAACTTCTCCCTCTGCTCAATCCTGCTTTCTTCTAGAGGAAATGATCCCAAGAGCACTCCCTAGTAAACATCCTACATACTATTTCTCACTCAGAATCTGACTTCTGGGGAACCCAACCTTTGACATAGATAGAAAAGGGGCTGATTTGAGAGTAAAGTTCATGACTTAACATTATATCATGCTGAACTAGATAGCAGCAGATGGGATCCTAGAATCTTACATGACCTTATATGGAGTTAGGGTCTTATAGAAGAAATATAGTTAAAAAGATGTCATTAGGGTAGGCCCTCATATAATAAGGCCGGTGTCCTTACAAAATGGGAAAATTGGGGGATAGATATGCATATCAAGAGAATACCGTGTGAACATGAAACTGAGGAAAGAAGCCTAGAACAGATCTTTTTCCTCATAGCTCTCAGAAGGAACCAACAGTGATAACCTGCAACCTCCAGCACTGTGAGACATTAAAGTTCTGTTGGTTAAGCCACCCAGGTACTGGGTTGTAGTTGCCCTATCAAACTAATCACTACCTAAGTAACAATCACAGTAGTTCAGAGTTTCTTTAAGATACTTTTTTAAATCTGAATTAGGTCCTGCCAATATTATCTCATCAACCCTTCCATGTTTATGTGCCTTTAGCACATATTGTAACCAAAGACCTATGCCTATAATTTGTTTAATGCTTTAATGTCCTCCAAATTGGATTGTAAATGTCAGCAGGGCAAATATAGAACATTTTGTCTATCACTATGCCTGGTGCTACTGTGTTTCCCTGAAAATAAGACATCCTCCAAAAATAAGACCTACTTAGAGGCTTCCTTCTGAGTGAAATATAAGGCATCCCCCAAAAATAAGGCCCCCCTAAGCTTTGTCTCAGAAACTTTGTGAAACCTAAACTGCAAGAAGTTGTGACTTGGGTGAAGAATTCATGGGAGAAAATCACTGACAGTTGCATTGCAAATGCACTGCGAGCAGGCTACCTTGACAAGAAGTACTCATTTAAAGACAGTGCTATTGCTAAACATGAGAGATTTGGTCCGCTGATTCTGAAAGAAATGGAGTCACAAAAAATTCACCATGAAATTCAGGAATTGGATTGTTATAATGATGTTCCAGAAGATGATGACATGATTGTCATTGGATAAATGAGTAAATTCTTGATACTGTAGGATTCACAGTTTGTCTGGTTTGTGTTGACAACTACCGTACTACTGTACCGTATACAGGTAATAAATTTCCTTTATTTTCATTTAACAATAAATGTGTACCGTATTCTTCTTCATGGAAAAATAAGACATCCCCTGAAAATAAGACCTACTGCATCTTTGGGAGCAAAAATTAATATAAGACACTGTCTTATTTTCAGGGAAACAGGTTAGTCTCTGGTGTTTAGAAGATCCATGAAAGCTGAAACCGGTTTGGCTCAGTGGATAGAGCGTCGGCCTGCAGACTGAAAGGTCCCAGGTTCCATTCCGGTCAAGGGCATGTACTTGGTTGCGGGCACATCCCCAGTAGGGGGTGTGCAAGAGGCAGCTGATCAATGATTCTCTCTCATCGATGTTTCTGACTCTCTATCCCTCTCTCTTCCTCTCTATAAAAAATCAATAAAATATATTTTAAAAAAAAGAAGATCCATGAAAAATTATAATTGAATGGGGGAAAATTACTAGTATACATGTATTGACCTGCAGAATCTGATTTGGCTAGTTATATATTTTTAATAAATAGAGTACTCTATCTTTTACAAAATACTCATAGTTTTGTAGAAAAATTTCAGTTCCTTTGCCTTTCTATCTGATTTATAGGCAAGTACGCTGCTTCACTCCACCCTTGAATTTAACCGCATCCTACATGCCTTAACATACCTGCTTTGGGATAGGAAGCAATGAGCAGGTCATCAGGCTTGGCTTCAAAATTCCAGACTTTATCCCAACTGTTGCATAGATTCTTCTCTAGAACAATCCCATCTACTTGGGAAACTTCTCCTGGGGGTATCAAGGCCCATTCTAACTCCTTTTTTTCCTCCACCTTATCATTAGCCATTCTTTCTATCTTGTTTTGGGCTCCAGCAGAGGAACATGACAAGTAAATGAAAGGGCGAACACAGGTTTTATATACTCAGTGCTTTGGAACAGATCTCTAGTCATTTATTATAGGTATGTATGTTTAGGCAAAAAAGAGGCCTTATTTGTATTGCTCTCTATATCCTGAGTGGGACTCAACAAAAAATGCTAGCATTGTGCCAAATATATGCTTTCCTTGTGGCCAGGTTCTGGCAGGGCTCCACCTTGATATTGCCAGAAGGAAGAATAGTGAGAAGGCAGCTCAGCCAAGGGGCCTCCCCAGTTCAGGGAGGTCACTTCCTGGTCCTGTGGGTGCCAACAAAGATAGGAAATTGAGAGGTGCCACTGAGGGAAAACCTGGGCAAGTCACCAGGAACCACCCTTCTCTCTTCATTCAAAGTTAGTGTTTCTGTGTTCTGAGCTTGTCATCCATGACATTTATAGGAATACCTTTCCAGAAATGAGAACTGAGCTTCTGTAAACATGCCACCTGTTAGAGATGTACATGTTGATGTCATCAGTTTGGACAGTTCACCTTGAAATTCCATCCCAAAATCCAAGTCTGAATTCAAGAGTAATTGAATTTTCAGGGCTCTGTGTATGATTGTTGTTGTTTTTTTTTTTTAAGTGTAAAGTTAGACTGTAATATTACATTTAATGGGTATTACCAGATAGAGGTGTTTTTTTCTTAAATCAAGGCATAATTAACATACAGTAAAATGCACAAATCTTAACTTTACATCTTAATGATTTTTTACTCATATATACATCCATATAACTGCCACCCAGATCAAAATAGAGACTATTTCCTTCAGAAAGTTCCATCCTGCCTCTTTCCAGTTAATTCCGCACTATTAACCCATGCCCAGGCAAGCAATGTTTTGACTTTTATTGCCATAAATAAGTATTGCCTAATCTTAAACCTTTTATAATGGCATCATACCATTATGTACCCCTTCCTGTCTGGCTTTATTTTTTCAAAATAGTGTTTTTAACATTATTGATAGAGTTGCAACAGTCAATAGTTTTATTCTATTACTATACTACATATAACTGAATATATTATAATTTGTTTAATTACTACTCATTTGATGACATAGAGGTTGATTCCAATTTTGAATAATTATGAATAAAGTTTGTATGATACTTTAATACTTCCTTTTTGTGTGTAGACACAAGCATTAATTTATCTTGGGTGTGTGCCTAGGATTCTAACTGCTGTGTCATAGATATGATTAACTTGAGTAGAAACTGCCTGTTATCTATCCAGTACATAGATAAGGACACAGTTTAATGACATCGAAAGAGCCACATGGCCACCTGTGTGAATGACTGTCTACTTTCCTTAATTTTGAGATTCTTTCACTCAGGTAGAGTGGAGGAATGGCAGTCTTATATTTACCTCATTTAGTTGCTGTCTGGTAGCACTGTAAGTTTCACTCGTTGTGGAGTGAATCCAGGATTGTCCTTGTGTCACTTTGGGTACTAAGTTGAAGAGTCAGACTTCAAGTGTTATCTCTGCCAGAATTTCTCTCAGCCTTAGGAGGGGGGTGTCTTCTCTCTGTCACCATGAAGGGATTTTAGAGCCCAGACCAGGGGTCTGCAACCTTTAAGATATAAAGAGCCACTTGGACCAGTTTCCGAAGGAAAAAAAAAACCTGGGAGCCGCAAAACCATTGCGACATTTAAAACAAATATAACGCTGCATATATTGTTTCTTACCTTAATGCTATATACCGGATAGTGCAGTTAGCTGTCAATCTGAAGAAAAAAAGGACTTTTTCACTTAACAATGTAAAATATATTTTTGCAAATTAGTAGCTAATTAAAATATTTAATTTACCTGGTTAATGGGATTTTTGCTCCTGAACCTCAGTGCACAATGTCAGCACATCAGGGCTGTAAGGCTTTACCTTCATTTTCACACAGGCTTGCAAGTTGTCGGAGCCGTGGTAAAGCTTCAAAAGAGAAGCATGAGGCTCTGGAGCCGTAGGTTGCCAACACCTGGCCCAGACTGTTCACCAGTGTTCTAATGTTTCCTCTGGGTATGCTGGACACAGGCATTAATCACAGATTTCAAACAAACAATTATAAAGGTCACCTGTGAGACAGTATTTCCCAACTTCAGCCTCAGTTACTGCACCGCTTCTCCCTGGGGATTCATCTTCAGAGAAGACCTGCCACCAGGAATCCTTGAGCAGAGGCAAAAGGGGGAAAGTTTGCTAACTACAGTGCAGGAGAGTTAACAGTTGTGGATGATAAGGGACAAGTAAAGGGACATGCTAACCTGACTAACACAGGAAAGGCCTTCGTGGTAGCCTTGCAAATTCAAGAGACTAAAGTAACCACAAGGATGGTCTGAAATTAAAACCTTTAATTAAAAAGCAGTTAATAGTGGGTAGTCAGGTCCTAGGATAGTATCTTCCCTGATAAAGATCAACTTTTTTTTTTAACTGAGTTTATTGTCTTTTTGTATCTAAGATAACATATTTGTGAAATTTCAGAGTAACTTGTAACTTCCCTTTTCTGGACCCCTCAGGGCACAGACCTGGTGTTATAAGCAGACCACAAATTCCCTCATTGTTATTGTTATCATGTTTTGTTTTTTTAAAAATATATTTTATTGATTTTGTACAGAGAGGAAGGGAGAGAGAGAGTTAGAAACATCGATGAGAGAGAGTCATCGATCAGTTGCCTCTTGCACACCCCCTACTGGGGATATGCCCACAACCAAGGTACATGCCCTTGACCGGAATCGAACCTGGGTCCCTTCAGTCCCCAAGCAGACGCTCTATCCATTGAGCTAAACCGGTCTCGGCTGTTATTGTTATCATGTTAATTGTTGACTGTTAACTATCCTATATCCACCTGTGTAAAGGAAGCAGGTGTCATCATTTTATTTTTTATCCAGTCCCAGAGGTTTCCTTGCTTTGCTTTCCTTCTGTCTCCCTAATCTATCACCAATGGATTCCAAGTAACTCTAGGAGATATAGCTGTAAACATATTGCTACAAAGATGTCTGAGACTTTGCTGCCTATGGTTTCTTCTAGGATTTTATATTTTCACAACTTACATTTAAAATTTTTTAACCATTTTGAGTATATTCTTGTGTATACTGTAAGTTGGTGGTTTAGTTGCATTTCTTTGCATGTATTTGTCCAATTTTCCCAATATCAGTTTTTGAAGAGACTATCTTTACTCCATTGTATGCTCTTGCCTCCTTTGTCAAATATTAATTGAGTATAATGACTTGGATCAATTTCTGGGCTCTCTGTTCTGTTCCATTGGTCTACATGCCTTTACCTGTGCCAGTACCAGGCTGTTTGAGTATAGTGGCTTTATAGTATAACTTGATATCTGACATTGTGATCCCTCCAACTTTGTTCTTCTTTCACGAGAATGCTGTGGCTATTGGGGGTCTTTTTTGAGTCCATATACATTTTGGGAGAGTTTGTTCTAGGTCTGAAATATGCCTTTGGTATTTCAATCAGGATCACATCAAATCTATAGAATGCTTTGGATAGTATAGACATTTTAATGATGTTAATTCTACAATCCATGACCACGGAATATTTTTCTACTTGTTATATTTTTCTTTATATATTTTTAATATCCTGTAGTTTTCTGGGTATAGGTGTTTTACCTCCTGGTTAAGCTTATTCCTAGGTATTTTAAATTTTTATTGTTGTTGCAGTGCTTAATGCAACTGGGTTATTTGTTTGTTTAAAATATTTTTATTGATTTCAGAGAAAAAGGAAGAGAAAGAGAGAGATAGAAATACCAATGATGAGAGAGAATCATTTACCAGCTCCCTCCTGCATGTCCCACACTGGGGATTAAGCTGCAACCTGAGCATGTGCTCTGACTGGGTATTGAACCATGATCTCCTAGTTCCAAGGTCAATGCTCAACCACTGAGCCACACTGGCTGGGCTGGGGTTTTTATTTTTTTAAGTTTCTCTGTAATTTCATTATTGGTGTATAAAAATGGCATTGATTTCTGGGTGTTAATTTTGTATCCTGCTAAGTTGTCGAATTCATTCATTAAATCTAGTAGTTTTTTTTATGGAGTCTTTAGGGTTTTCTATGTACAATATCATGTTGTCTATGAATAATGGCAGTTTTATTTCCTCTTTTCCAATTTGGCTGCCTTTTATTTATTCTTGTCTGATCACTATGGCTAGCACTTTGAGTACCAGGAATTGGATTTTTTTCAAAAGCTTTTTCTGCACCTATTAATATAATCATGTGATTTTTATCTTGCAGTCTGTTAATGTGCTTTATCGCATTTATTGATTTTTGGGTATTGTATCCGTCTTGCATCCCTGAAATAAATTCCACTTGGTCATGGTGTATCTTTTTCTGTAATGCTTGTCTGATTTGCTAAAATTTTTGTGGATGCTTTTAGGATCTATGTTAATCAGAGATATTGCCTCTATTTCTCTTTCTTTGGAGTGCCTTTATCTGGTTTTGGGTACTGGTCTAATGGAAACAGCATGGAAGTGTTCCATCCTTTTGAATTTTTGCCATAATTTGAGGAAAAGAGGTGTTAGTTCTTCTTTGAATGTTTGATAAAATTCCCCTGTGAAGCTGTCCAGACCAGCCCTTTCTCTGACTGGATTATTTTGCTTAGTCTAATGCACTCCAGTTCCATTCATGCTGTTGCAAATGGCAAGAATTCCTTATTTTTTATAACAGCATAGTATTCCATTGTGTAGATGTTCCATAGTTTTCTAATCCATTTATCTGCTGATGGGCACTTAAGCTGTTTCCAAATCTTAGCTATTGTAAATTGTGCTGTTATGAACGTAGGGGTGCATATATCCTTTCTGATTGGTGTTTTTAGTTTCTTGGGATATATTCCTAGAAGTGGAATTACTGGGTCAAATGGGAGTTCCATTTTTAATTTTTTGAGGAAACTCCATACTGTTCTCCACAGAGGCTGCATTCCCACCAGCAGTGCAGAAGGGTTCCTTTTTCTCTGCATCCTCACCAGCACTTGTCATTTGTTGTTCTGTTGATGACAGCCATTCTGAC